TGATTAATGCTCAAACCTTCTCCGTGTGAGAAGAGGCTTTGCTCAGCAGTGGGCATTTATAGGCTGTTGATGATGATCTCTCTCTTTACTTCCAATATAAAAATATTTGTTTTAAAATACTTATGAGTGTTGTATTTATTTTAAGACTCAATACTGGAGTAAGAATGAGGTGATCCCGGATGTGGAGTCTGAAGAGGAGGACCCGATGGCTCAGGACCCGCGGTACTTCGAGTCGCCACCAGCAAACGCAGAGATCGGAATCAAAATTGTCAACGTCTCTAAGGTGAGCTGTTTTTTCTCTAAAAACTATTGTGAGACATACTATGTTCACGATGCTCATTCATATTAATTATTTATTAACTCTTTAAACTGTCAAACACCAAGCGGTCACCGGTGACCGCAACCTATTGTTCTATAATTGTGTCTACAAAATCGGTACTCGACGAGTTAATGCACAGAAAAACAAGGTACATAAGGCGGACTTAATGCGATATGGTATTATCTCCCAGTCAACCTTCAGGTTAAATAGAGAATCAGCGAAAATAGTCTTGTGTAATATGACGCCCATGGTTATTTAAAACATGTATATTTCAACTAGCTGCCTCCGCGCGGTTGCACCCGGTCTGCTCAGCTCGTATTTTTATTATTTTTTTTTTATTTAAAAAACGTTGCCCCACACTAGGATTGCCTCCTGTGTCGTGGGTGCGTTTACAAACATATAAGTTCACATACACATGACACCCAGACCCGAAACAACAATTTGTGGATCGCACAAAGTGTTGTTCCGTGCGGGAATCAAACCCGCGACACGTTGCACGGCAGCCGGTTGCCCAGCCACCGCACCAACCGTGCAGTGTATTGATCACAGCGTGATGATTTAGTCTATAGCCTTCCTCGATAAATGAAGTATTCAACATAAAACGATTTTTTCAAATCGGATGAGTAGTTCCTGAGATTAGCGCGTTCAAATAAACATACTCTTCAGCTTTATATGTATAATAATAACATCACGGCTTATATCCCCGAAGGGGTAGGCAGAGGTGCACAATACAGCACTTAATGCCACTGTACTATGTAACACCCACTTTTCAATATTTATGTTATGAGTCCCATGTAATAGGGTGTGAGCCTATTGCCATATATCGGGCACATTTCCAGACTCCGTGCTACTACTGAGGTTTTTACAAACCCAGTAATATTTTGCCCGACCCGAACCCGAGACCCCTTGCCCGGCAGTTGCACTT